ATCCAGACAATCAAAAAAATATGGGTAGAAGATGACTTGTATAAGAAGAGGCCATCCATTGTCTACTGCCTGGCATTGAACTGGCACAAATACCACTATATTTAATATTTCTTTCATGCAGGCCAAGCATTAAATGCTGTATGGTAGATAATCATAATGAACAAACACAAGACAATCAATCATCACAAAAAGAGAAAAAATAATAATAAATAAATAAATAAAATAAAATAAGGCACATAATCGCCAGATGAATGGATCTGTTCAGTGCATTGCATAAATTTTAACAAGCCAACAATCTTTACCACTTCATATTGAAATATTTATCCCATCTTGAAATTGAACTAATAATATGCAAACTGAATAGTCAAAAACTGCAACTTACTTCTCCTTTTTTTGTCTCGTCCAATCGATTGTAAAACCGTACAACATAAACATCCTACATTAAAAAAATAAAAAGTTAGCCTCCATTACTTTCTCACCCTCATGACTGGATATGATTAAAAGGCCATTCAATAAAAAGGAGAACGGCAACAGAAGAAGTGTCAAAACATGATGTCTTAAAGTGCAGGAAGCAAAGGGACCTTTAATACTGACTAAACTCATGACATATGGATCGACAAAATTCTTACCCCATGATTGACTTTTCGACGCCCCAGCTCCTCTACCATAAGCGTAGGCCCTATTACACCCTTCCTAATAGGTTTCTGGGCCAAAAAAATGTTGTGAATCAAATTTTAAGAACAAATCAAACTAAACACCCAAAACAACATAGTTAAATTCATCTTGCACTTTAAAAACATGTCCATACACAATAGATCTGTATATTGAAACGTGCTAATTTTGCACCATAATAAACCAAGATGGGATGCTTCAAATTACACAATCACTTTTTTTCCCTTTTGATGGAAGAATATTTGATTAAAAAAAAAGAAAGAAAGAACCAAATAAGGATGGGAAATACATCCATAGATAGGCAGATGAAGTATAGAATTATTTTTCGGTGACATGCCGTTACTATTTACTTACTACCAGAGATAATGCACAATAGGAAATAAAGTCTCCTCCTAAAGAATCCCAAAACAAGAAGAAAGGAGTAAAACAGAAATGGGCAACAGTTTATAAAGGCCAAAAGATAAAAATAACCATAGGGCTAAGCGACTCAAGATGCAGAACCCCACATCCAAGGCATAAATCAGGTGCCATGCAAACCACAAGAAAGAAATTTTCCAACGAGATGGCAACTTCTGAGCAAATAAATCAGCTTCATTTCTAATGCACCTGGAAAATGCATTTTTTAATTTCCTACTTCATTCTCAATTTTTTGAGTTTCTCATCAAATACATGGGCAGACAGGATCAAAATATGCATCTCCCTCACCAGGTTAAACCACCTAACCTCCCACCGCCAATCTAATAAAAAAGAAAGGGAAAGATTGCTATCTCAAAACACATTGTGGAAATTTTCACAACAAAGCTATGTGCATTAGTGATGCGGACAACAAAGGAAGCAAAGATCGTATCTTTTTGTAGACAAGAATATTTCTATAATTTCCAGAACAAGTATGTAGCCTTTCAATATTATAAGGAAGAAGAGTTTATGAATAAAATTCCAGCAATTTGCTTTTGATTGTGTGACTCAATCTTTCTTAGGTGTGACTCCTAAGAACCCTAGGGGTGAAGCTTAGGTTTTTCTATCTTCTAGTTGTGACTACTAGAATTCTGCCCACACATTTCCTCATATTGCAGCAGAACCCTACTTCAACACAACCCTAAACACCCTCCAAAAATCAGATCCAGAACAGCCCCTAAGCTGCCCTGCATCAATTAGCATCCTATTATCACATTTTAATCAGTTTTTCACTGAAAGTTCTCAAAATCCCATTGCCCTTCCCATTTTTCAATGCAAAACCTCAACTACAACAGCAAATTCAACTGCAGGTACAATTCCAACTTTCAAGCTCCTCAAAGCGTCCAACACTCCAGTGCAACACTCAAATGAACCTAGCAAAATGATCAAAGCCTCTATTCAATTCTCAGCCCAATAGCCACAACACTTCGATCTCTCTTAGTCCATGGTTCCATCAACCCATTTGAGCACTTAATTTACCCACAAAATTCTACAACTGTGGTTTATCTTCATTAAAATTAACAGCTACAGATATTATCTAAGAATTATTCCTACCTATAAAACTCGCAATCATCACTCCTCAGATTATCCATACTTTCTCCAATACATACCATGGAAAAGGAATCAAAATAAAATCCATAAAGAAAATAACATTAAAAAGAACAATGCAGCAGTTACTGCTGCTACTTTCTTGATTTTTCAGCCAAAAAGACAGGCATTAAAAAGCAATAAAACAAGATAGAAAAGAGAAAAGGTAGGCAAAAAGGAAAACATACAATGCCAGGTTGATCTTGAGGATCACGCTTGTACATCTCAACATATTTTCCTTTGATAAACAGGAATCTCAAATGACAATACTGATGCCCGATCGAATTCGTCCCCAAATGATACACCCAACCTGAATACACACGAATCCCCCCTCCTCTCCTCCTCCGTCGCCACCACTACTACTACTCTGGCTTCCAGTACTTCCATCCGAAACACCGTCTCTCTCCGTCTTCCTCATCTTCACCTCCGTCGGCGACGTCACCGTCGTCGTCGTTGTTTCCATCGCTCTTCACTCTTTTTCTTGATCAATCAGGTCTTTGTTTGAAAGAGAATGACAGAATGTCGTAAATTCCCGGGGTTTTTTTTCCTCTTCTTTTTCTACCCCTGAAGTATGGTAGTTTGGTGTATGATTAACGGCTTTATTTATATATTTATGAGGAGGTTTAAAGGCGTTAGGATTTTCTCTGTCGTCGTGGTGGTGTTTGAGGACGGAGACAAAAACGTCCACCCAGGTCACATCTTTCTGAAATTTGACGCATTTATTTACACTTTTATCAGTCAACGAGTAATATATCCAGCTTGGAAAAGCTTCCAAATCAGTAATTTCAATTTGGTCTCATAAGTACCAAATTAACCAATATTGTCCTCAAATGATCCACATAACGTTGTCCTTCTTTTAATGCTACCGTTAGATTAGCTTTCCAACATTAAAATTAAATCATAAAACAAGCTCTCTATACCCAAAAAAAAAAAAATCGTAAAAATTTACGCCTTACAACCCAAAACGAATGAAAATGCATTTCAAGATACGTTTTACTATTATTTGATTTATTTTTATTTGGTCGAAATTGAAAAGAAGCAAAAACCCATTCGAATAAAAAGTGATAATGAACTTTTTTTTATGCTTTAAGATATCATAAAACTAAAGATTCAGATTAATTTTTTATTGTTTTATCGAATACATAAAATAGTATTAATCATTCAAATTATTTTTTATATGCATAAGAACTTAAATTTAAAATTATTTATTTAAATGATTAGAATTTTTTTCACTTAAATAAACCCTTTTTAAAACGAAGGTTACTCTATTTATATACGTATCCACAAAACGGATATCTTCTAATGTCTTTTAGAACAAAATCGAAAATAAACACACACCCACTGTGTTTGAGAGAGAGAGAGAGAGATTAAATGTTAAAATCAAAATCATTATTATATGTTAATATTACATCCAAACGAGGAAGGAGATTGAAGTTGGTAGTTGTTCACGACGAGGGACGGTAACATTAAATAGTTTTGAATTTTTGGAGATTCCAACTAGCGGGGCTCAGTATTTTGGCATTAGATGTTGCCAAGTGGCTGTTTGATAGAATAAGAAATACGTAGTTTGACTGACAGGTTACACTTGGGGCCGAACGTGTATGATCTTAGATTTACAGAACGGAACATTTGGTGATTGATTGGGATGCATGTGCTTGTTATTTATAGCTGTCAGTTCTATTTATGTCCACCAAAAAATGGATAAAAAGTTGTCAGTTTTACATGACGCTGACAGGCTAGCAACCAATCCCTACAACGATATCTTCTCCTTCTTCGTCCCTTTTTTTTTTTTTTTGTTCATAAGCTACCATCAGCATAATAATACTATACAAATGATATGTGTGGATTGCTTGTACTGGTTGGTAAAAGATCAAAGTCTTGGTACGCCAGAAAACATTACTACGCAACTTTTTATCGAACTGCTGAAAATAAATTATTTGTACATAAATAAATATAATCTAACAATTAGGTATTTAATATCTCAATTTTGACATGTGAATCCAGATGCGAAATTTCAGTTTATTTAATTATTATATAGTGAAATATTATTACTTTTATTTATGTAGTATATATAGAAAAGGCTTCTTCATATATAATGGCGTGTCAATTTGTATGTGTGTTCTGCTTTTATTTTTTATGAATGGAAACTGCGTGTCAATTTGTGAACGTATCAAGATTTGGAGTCTTGTGTTGTTTGGTTTAGAGATACCAATTTGCTTCGCTCCGACGGAACCCCGTTTCGCATCGTGTCTATTTTTCTTGATCAATACAAGGATTTTTCGTGTTAATCAAGAAACGAGATGAGAATAGGATTTGTTTATCCTGTCCCGTTTATCTTGTTTGCCCTTTTTTTAATTAAAATTATAATTATATTACATATAAAATTTATAATTACTGATTTTTAAGGTTTATTTTTTATATAAATTATTATTTTTTTATTATAATTTAAAATTTAATAATAAAATGAAATAAAAATAAAAATAAATAATTTTTATCTCGTTTACACTCCATTTGTGATGGAAAAATTTTGCCCCAAGACACGGAGTGAGAAAAGGGAAAATTTTTTAGAAGCAGGACGGGGATCCCTGTTCGAAGCACCAGTGAGGATGGAGAAAATTTTTTTACCCCGTCCCGCCCCATTGCCATCTCTACTTTGGTTTAGGGAACATAGACTGATATCGGGGTCGGTGTCCTTTCATCCTTATCCACAATTTTAAGAAATAAAACCTGATGAGACAGACAACTACCTATACAGTGACAATACCAGGGGACCGGTTGTCAGCTTAGTTAGGTCGGTAATAGAGTTGCCCTGCCCAGCCCAACTCACATGTATTTATTCCTAAAGTTGCTAAATTACGTGGAACACAAATGTGCTTTGATATCCGCATTTGCTTTGATATCAATCGTGATATGGTATGATTGGTTTCTGGTTTAACAATAATGATTCCTCGAATAAGTTCAAACATAATTTTCCAAATCAGACATTTTCAAATTGAATAAATTCTTAAGCAACACAAATGTGAAATGGGACCTTACTTGAATAAACTTTCTTAGAGGACAAGTGTTTGTGCACGATTACTCTAGATGGAGACCATCTACGTATATGCCCGGACACAAGAAATAAATCTATTCCCTCCCTTGGCTTTTAGCATCTTTCGATTTCGTAAAAAATGCGATCAACAATCAGCTGAAAAGTATCACTGTATTCCATGCAGGCCAACTATTTCGTGCCCACAAGTCCACAACTCAGTGTTCCCTGCCACTGCACAAATGAACTCCCATCAGATTCTCCCAATTTCCTTTCACACTTTCAAGAAATTGCTGGTTAAAGACAACTTTATTTTTCTATGGTCAAATGAGATGAACCACACCAGTGACCAGTGACATCTTCATCTACTAGCTACCTAAATGTTGTGCGTAGGTCCATCAGTCAGCACTCAAAGTCAAACACGCAGCACAATCATCTTTATCAACATATATTTTCATAACACTGCAACGGGGAATCCCAACAGAACATACATCTGCAAAATCAGAGGAAATGCCAGTAAAATCCTAATATAAGGATGAATCCAATTTTGAATTCCGTTACTCATTACTGCTCTTTGTTCTCTTCTTGCTCATCATACTCATCGCTGTCACCGTCATCATCGTTGCTGTCGTCGGTTGTGTAATGACCTCTAAAAATGCTGCCTCGAGGAAGTTCACTGATGTCATCATAGTCCCCATCTCCAGCCAGGAATTCCAGCCCAAATTTCATGGCCCGGTGTTTAACAAGAAGCCAACGCAGTAGGCGATCCTCCTTGTTCAGGTAATGCAGCTCCTTGTTGATGTTAGGTGTGGCCATCATTGTCATTTGCATCAGTTGACCCTAATCAAATATAATAGGAACACCAAGTTTATATAAAAATGTCCAGTGAAAATAAAATAAGAATGATGCACTTTTGAGTCAGGAATGATGAAGCAGCAATAGCTATATATGTGCTAGGACAAGAATGTTTCATGGAGTTCATATAACCTGAACCATCCCACTATCAATAGCCCCAATTTAACATCAAATTCTGATTCTGGGTAAGGGTTTATTAAAGTCAGCTCTTATTGTTTCCGCATGCAAAAAACCAAAGACGTTATCTTCACTCACAATACAGCTCTTTTCATGGGGGTGTCCACATTTATTTGGTTCCTCAGAACTTTAACATGAGACTCAAATGAAATGACCCAGCAAAATTAGTTTGACTTAAAAAGACACAGATAGCCATGGTGGCAGATCTTGGATACAAGTACAAATAGATAGATTTTCAATTTCACATATTTTCTCCTTGGGGTTTAATCCAAGGTCACCAAGATGCACCAATTTCAAAAATACAGATCAAGAAAGAATCCGCTTTTTCCCCATTTACGAAATTCCATATTCTCATCACCGTTATTCAATAATCCTTTCTTATGACAGTATAATTTTTGACAGTTAACAACATAACCTACTTACACTAATCCCATCAGTCTCAAGCTTAAGTCAAACATCCATCCAACACCAACTTAACAAAAACTTCTATAAAATTTATTAATCCACTGCAGCCAATTCAATATTTTAGTACGCTCCAATCTTGTATGAAACTAAAATAAAGTCCTAAGAAATGGAAGAATGCCAGAGCAAAGATTATAATAGGGAACTTGCAAACAATATAATGGAACAAAAGACTTGCCAAAATAGAAAAAAAAATATACAGATCAAGAAACCAAAGCATTCTCAGCATGCCAAATCCAAAGTCCAAGCAAACAGACACAAAAAACCAAAATACAACATTAGTTGAGTTATACCAAATGACTACAGTGGAAGCATATTCACCTGATAATGCCTTCCATCGAGCTTCTTAATACCATATCCCAGTTGAACAGTGCCAAAAGATTTTATATTAGTGATAACGCCGTTTCTACTATAAACATGCTTTCCTACTCGAGATGCCAAGTCCATCACGGCTTCCTTCCGTACATGAGGTTTCAACAGAAGCATACAATCATAAAGAGGCATCTTCGCTCTTCCTTATCTTCCTCAAGCAGGACGAGTTCACCAAACTGCTTAAGCAGAGTCATTCATTAGAATAAACAAAAGAAATTAAAGGTACAATCTTACTTCAGTTTTTGTACAAATGGGTCACTCTAACAGTCAATCCTAAATGCCACAATCAAGTAACTTAAAACCAATAGCTAAAAATAATACAAATAAACAAGTTTTAAAGCAAAACCCAAAACACTAGCATCGTATTTTCTACAACATCAAGCAACAAAGAAAAAGTTCAGTTTTTTTAAGAAAGGAAATGAAACCCTCAAAACGCTTTCAGCCATTTTTTGGCATATACAAAAACAGTATTTACATAAATTTCAAAAGATTGTAAGGCACCATCTATCTTGCACTGCTGAAACTCATACAGTGAAGAGCTGGTTATTCGAGCCCCTGGTTTTACTATATGCAGCTGTATTAACTTACTGCTTGGCAATACTAGAGCCAACCAGCTCGGCCAGCTGCAATAAAAATACAACATAATTACACTCTTTAATTATACTCTTTCAAGTATCGCCGATCCAACCTTTACCCTCACTGAGACATTTCATCGAACACCAAATACCCATTTCTAATACCAGCAAAAACAATAACAAACTAATCTCGTCAGATAATCAAGAGACCAAAAGTAAAAATATTCTTTTCTTCTTGTAGGTGTAGTAAATCTTGAGAAACAACTGAGGATCGTTTCTTTTGTTTTGCTTTGACAGTGAAAATGAAACGGAAGGAAACAACTGCGATAAAAACTAAAGCATTGTTTCTGTTTGATCAGATGAGAGAGAGGACCTGCTGGATGGTGGCGGTGGCTGCTCGACTCACTGGAGCGCTTGCTAAACCCTTCCTCGCTCTGATTCCGGGTTTTGCTTTGTTTCATATTGTTTTTTGGATCAGAAACGATAGAGAGCGACGAATACAAGGCCAAGCCCAAGTCTGTGTATGGGCCTAAATGTTAAGAAGCCGACGAATGAAAACGGATAAGTACACGAATGCCAAATTTGAAGTGCTTTAAGGCTCGGAGGAAAATAAGTTTTATATTTATAAACTCATTTTTTTTTCATTTTCCTCCATTTTTCAATATTTATTTTATATTCAGAAAAAAAGTCAATGAAAAAAAATTTTCAGTAAAACAAAAATGATAGAGTGTTTTTGAGAAAGTGTTTTTTGAGTTAAAAAAGAGAAAAATATTTTCTTATCTCTCACAAGTTGTTTCGCTCTAGCGTTACTAACCTCTCTCTTTCGATATATTTTAAGAATTTTTTTCTCTGTCTCTTTTTTATTTAAAATATATTAAATTAATTTTTAATTATTTCTTATCAATTATTTTTTTTATTTTTACTAACATTTGATTTTTCGATTTATAAATACATTAAATATTCTTAAAAACCATTTTTACACTTTAAAATTATTTTATAATAAATATTTTAATAATTTATCTCTATTTTTTTTTCATTATCCCAAACACCACCTAAACTATACTTAAATGATTAAAAATAATTATTACAAGACCGTAATCATTTGCTCCAAATGTGAATATTGACTTGATTTTGTTCAAAATAATTTTGATGAATTGGTTTGATGGTTAAAAATATATATTTTATTTTTTGAATTTAAATCTAGAATCAGAATTTATAAAAAATTTTAAAATTTTTCTAAATGCATTTGTGAAATTGTTAATATGCTTCAAAACTTGTTGATGTAATTATCACAATCTGTTTTTATATTTTATATCAAACAAATACTGAAATATATTTTTCAAACTGTTTTTTCATGTAATTATCGAATGTTAAAAAATATTTTTTTAAAATAACTTTTTCAGAATTAATTCTTCTATTGGAGGTTGCTTTTCGCTAAACAATCGGAGCTTAAGAATCTGCTTCTTGCTTCGTCTGCTCGCACTATTCCTGCTAAACCCCCTAGCTTCTGTAAAGGTTTCAGCATGCAAGATCCAAAGGTTGCATAGTTACGGAAAATGATTAAAACCCCTTAACTTATAGATTTAGAAACGCAAAAATCAAAGACCAAAAATGAAAAACTGCAAGAAAGCCAAGCTTTAGTAAAACATAAGGATCAGTTCAATGGTTGAAGAGCCTAATCCAAATACATAATAAGGTCATGTGGATGACGGTGGTGGCTATTTTTTGTTTGTCGATTGCATGCTTATTTAGACCATTTTTTCCCCGAATATTGACGACGATGTACACGGGCATGAGCTGATACACGTAAGAAAATGAATTTGATCAGCTATTCTGGTATACTTTACTGGGCGATTTTAAAGATATCTATTGTCTACATAACTGTTGTCCTTCCAACTCTTTCGCCTGAGTCTATCGGACTGTCATCATTTGGATTCTCAGGCACTATCGTCTTCCAGAACCAGTGCTTTTTCCACAGGAATATCATCTCTTCAATAGGAACTCCCTTAGTTTCAGGGAGGAAGAAGTAAACGAAAATGGTCATGACAAGAACCCAGCCAGCAAAGAAGAGGAAGATTCCAAACTTGAACGCACAGAGGAGGGACAGGAAAACCTGAGCTATTATAAAAGTGAAAAAAAGATTTACAGCTACTGTAATGCTTTGCCCAGCTGATCGGGTTTCCAGTGGAAATATCTCACTTGGAATGGTCCAGCCAAGCCCACCCCATGACCATCCAAAGGCTACAACAAACAAGCAAAACACAACGACAACCAACACCGAGTAACCTTTCGATAGTTCCTGGTTGTCCCCGAACTTCACCCCCAAGATTATAGAAACAATTACCTGTTACAAAAGTTAAATGTAATTAAGGTTATAGTTACATACATCGAATGAAACCGACAGATCCTTACTTGCCGAACTATTTTATCTAATGCACATGAAAGAGTAATGAATGTTTACCTGGCATGTTATCATTTGTAGCCCACCACTGATAAGTAAGAATCTCCTGCCCACTCTATCGACTGTTGCAATAGTAATGAAGGTAGAGGAACAAAGAACTGCTCCAGTCACAGCTGAGGAGTAAAGGGAAGCATTACCTCCAAATCCCATACTTTGAAACAGCACTGGAGCGTAGAAGAGAATAGAATTTATTCCCGTCAGAATCTGAAATGCGGGCAGCAGGATTGCCATAACCAATTGAGGCCTGTTCCTTTTTACAAGGATGTTCCTGAATGGATGCTTGATTGAGTTAGCCAGCTCGCTTGCATCTACCATGTCTTCAAATTCTGCATCAACATTTTTGGTTCCTCTGATATTTTCTAGGATTTTTCTCCCTTTATCTCGCATTCCCCGTTCGATTAAACTATTAGGTGTCTCGGGCAGAACTATCCCTCCCACTGTCATCAATACAGCTGGAACTGCAGCTAGACCCAGAGAGAGTCTCCATCCCCATGGTTCAAGCTTTTGTGTTCCATAATTAACCATGTTTGCAGTAAAGATTCCAGTAGTAGTTGCTAACTGAAACATCATGTTCAGAGCTCCTCTGAGATGAGTTGGTGCCATCTCCGATAAGTATAGCGGAACAGCCTGGGAAGAAAGAGTAACATAGATGCATTAGTATATTAGTAAAAAGTGGGAAAAAAAATACATGGTTACGGAAACTCATCTGCTCTCTTTTGATCACCACATCTTCAATTCATATCAGAACTTAATAAGAAAGAATGTGCTTTGTTGTAGGAAATGGCTTGAAGCAGAATGGAGTACCTGATTTCCAAATCCAATGCCGACTCCAAGCATGATCCGGCCCAAGAGGAGCATTGCCAGGTTGATGGCTGTGGCATTTAAGGTAGCTCCAGTAAGAAAGCTGGCACCACCACAGATTAGACTTGCTTTACGTCCATAAATTCTTGTAATAGGACTTGCAACCAGAGATGAAACCAAGCCAGCAAGGTACAGAGAAGAGGTAAAGGCTGATAGCCTCTGGTCATTGTACTTGCAGTAGTTGCTTTCATGTACATGCTGCTTCTTTTCATATACACCATGGAAAAATTTCCGAAGAAATCCATCCATTGATGTCACTCCTCCTGTTAATCATTGAAGTTGGTGTACAAAAATATTCAGTTTTGAAGCAGAATCCGAAAGGTTACAGAACTCCAACATTATTTTTCTGGATTTTGTTTTTTCAGTGATTAATGCCAACTGATCTCTAATCATCATGATCCTTAAGTTTATCATAAGATGACAGCCTTGAAAACCCAAATTGCAATATGAATCAATATGATAACTTCAAGGAAAATTCAAGCATTGAAAATTATAAAAACAGAAAATGAACATTCAGATCTCATCTGGTATCCTTGTTATTAACGATGGTCAATGGAGTCTATTTTTGGCAACCAAGATGGGTTCTAACTTCTAAATGCTGGTTGTGTCAAGATTATCTATTTTTAGCAGGAAACAAAAACTTTGATAAGTGGTTGTGAGATCTATTTCTCAAGACAAGAGCCTCGAGAATTACCCCTGCAGTCTTTCATCATTCTGCCAATCGTTAGTTTCAATTACTATTACAAAGTTTTCATTTCTTTGCGCAGAAATTGAATCATCAATAATTGCTTGTAAACTCATCATCATAATTTCAGAAATGCTCAGGGCTTTTGATTCGAATTCTTGCTTTATTCTTTTCCTTTTCCAGGAATCCAGAAAAAAAATTCACTTTCGGTTTCACTATTGCCTTTTGACACACAACAACCACCTACCTTTCATCCTTTCCTCAACTAAAAAAGATATTCCAGGCAGAATATTCTCTCTCAACAAAGTTTTCCACAAAAACAATATTAATTCAGAATTGTATCCATCTTTATCAACTTTTGATCAAGAAAATGAAAAGAAAAAGTACCTGAAATTCCAATATCATAGCCAAAGAGAGAGCCACCAACAGCAGCAACAACACATGCAATGGCGACAGAAAAGGTGACTCTCCCTTGATACTGATCTGCCCTCTCCTTGGCCACACCAGCCGGCCCAATAGACCCTCCTGCCATCTTCGAAGCTCAAGCAATAATATCAAACCAGAATCAACAGAGACACAGACCTTTTTCTTGGTTTTCCTGAAAAAATTCAACAAAAGGAAAAACAATCCTCTATAACCTCAATTGTGAGCTAGGCAAAACATATGGGGTTTATTATCTATATCCTTGCACAGACATGGCAAGCAGTGATAGAAACACCGAAAGAGTGTTGTTGTTGTTTTGGTGCAACAGAACTTTTACAACTAACAACTAGCGGTAAGAATTTATATGCTATTAAAAAGAGCATTTCTATTTCATTCTTCTTCTTTTTTCCAAGCATTTGGCTATCTGTAGCCAAGAGACAGTGCACTATATTGTTTGAGGTGGATGTTCATTTATGGTCATTGAAAAGTCAATCTGGTAGTTTTACATGTGCTATCCAAATTTAATGTTATTGGCTTGTTACAATGCCTATATTAGCCTTTATCATGGGATTATGCATTTAATTTAATCGTGATGATCCATTTTTAGTATTTTATTTAAATTCACTGGTTTTAATTTATGACGAGTTTTATTTTAGCCTTCACCTTAATATATATTTATGTATATCAACAAGTTATTGATTTAGTAATAAACGAATTAATTCTAAAATAAATTTTCTATAAATGTATAGGATTTGAATTTTAAAATCATATTTGTTAAAAAGGAGTTAAATCTTATTACTTTGGTTTTAGATTTATGACATTTATTAATATGCTAGTTTATCCATGCATATGTTTTGGAGAGCAGGTAATAAAAGCAATTATCTTTTCAGATAATGCTTATATAAAAGGAAAAAAAGTTAATGAATTTTACACGGTCTCAAGAATTGTAATACTTTATAATTTTTTTAATCATTTATTTCTTGTGCATATTCATATTTATCTTTTTTTCAGAAACCATACATTCTTTACCTTTTTTCTCTAGGATGTGAGCTTGAAATTCTTGTGCTAATTATAAAAATTAGGGTTAATATCGTCGCTTGTCCTTATATAATAAGTCAATTTTTCAATATGTTTCTAAATAAAACGTTTTTAATCTATCCTTATATTTTGATATTATTTCTAATTTATCATTTTAATTAAAATATCCAGCTAAATTAAATAAAATTAAGCATGTGATTTGTAAATGGTAAGGTATTTGATAAAATTATTTTTGTTATTTAGCACAAATAATCTATATCTATTAATATGAAAATTAATTTTTGAAATTGGTCGAAATTTTGACTATAACAATAGATTAGAAACAAACTTAGAATATAAGAACAAATTCGAAAACATATTTTTTTAAGGATAAACTGAAAAATTAGCTTAATATATAAAGATATATGGACGTATTAATAGTAAAAATTATTGTGTTAAAAAAAAAAAGCTTCACCAAATTTAAAATTTTAATCAATTATGTTGATATTTAAACCTAATTTCATCTCTCCGGTAAAATAAAAGCATATTTTTTTTACATATGGAAGCTATAAAATTTATGAAAAATGTTATATTTTTTGAGTTATGATGGGATTGGCCCAAACCCTCTATTTGTTATGACACTCTACTAATCTGTATCGATGCGAAAACTAATGGACTGGAAATTATATATCATTTTGGAATGGCTGAAAGAAAATTATTTTGTCTATTTATTTATTAGCAAATAAATGTATGATGGAGGTTGATTTCAGCTTCGATATTGATTTCTCGATCCATTTGGGAGTCATAACAAATAGATAATTTGGTGGCATCCTTTCCACTTGGAATGCTCAGTCTTTAATGAGTTTGCTATCTTGCTTTTGTTGGATATCGGATTCTGATTCCATCCCTCTTTTTAGTTTTGTCTGGATTTGAACTTTCCAATTAGGAATGGCTCCATCTGCTTTCCTGACATGACAAGTTCTTATTTAATTATTTTGAAATTCATTTAAAGGAAGAAGCTATTTTCTAGATAGTGATTTTAATAAGCTATTTTCAATAAAACCAATATTTATTTATTGGAATTTGGGTAACCCTCTTTTCTTTTTCCTCCTTAGACACCCTCTTTAATAAGCTAATTATTATTATTATTATTATTGAGAAATAGCTATTTCCTGAATTAATTTATTTATTTCCTGAATCTTGTTGATTCGATATTGATGATTTGCTTAAAATTGACAGTATAAGTTAGAGTAAAGAGTAAATTATAAATTAGTACCTCTCGTTTCAGGAAATAAATAAATAAATTTTTTTTGTTTAAAAATTGATCATTTAGTATTTATGTTTTGAAATTTACTTATAATTTAATTTTTTAAGAAATATAAAAAAATAAAAAGATTAATGAGAAAATAAGAGATTTTATGAAATAAAATTAATATTAAATTAAATACGATCAACACTGATTCAAAGATTAAATAACAATTTTTGAAACAAGAGTGACTGATTAATTTATTTCTTGAAACTAAAGGGATTAATTTATAATTTAGTCTATAAGTTACGATATTCAATATCACCGTTTACACTTAAAAATTAAAATCCCACCAAAAAAAAAATATCATTTTTGTTCACGCCAAAGAATTCGCTCACTAACGCCAAGAAACGGAAGTCAAGTCCACTAACAGCATTCACAAGTTTGCAGCCACCACACAAGAACCTTTGTAATCATACGGTACTCTTTTTTGTTTTAATAATAAAGAAGTCCTTTTTTCCTTATTATTTTCATTCTTTTTGCTTAAAAGATACATCTAGGACCAAAATGTAATACTATACATACCCTAGGGGACCAGATACGGAAAATTATGGTGAGTAGCGTTATTTTACGATTATGGACAACAATACAGAATTTGCAAATTGTGGGTTTACAAAAGATAAATAATTCTAGGAAGTAGTCAATATAATTAATTGAATGCTGTAGTTAGCTGCAGCATCAAGTAAAGAAGAAAAGATAAGGTTTAATAATTTTAGTGGGCATTGGTTTTGACTTTCGAGAGGAAATTATTTTCCTGTCATGATATCATTAATTATACCCTTAAGTTTTGCATAGGTTGAAGGATGTATGCAGATACCTTCATTTTCATTAACATGAATAATTTCAAAAAAATTTCTTAGCTATCCTCACAAGATATATATATATATATATATTGGTCCTAGTAATGTTGATTATATGCATTTGTTTTTTTGATCTAGAATGGTCTAACATTTGACATTTCGTTGCTAAAGAAGGATCTTCTATTTTATTAATTGTGGGAGTGATTATATAGAAGTAATTGTGAGAGTGATTAGGATTTTTCACCAACTATGGAAGTAATTATTCCACTGCCAATGGATGTGATTTGACGGTAAAAAGAAAAAAAAATTGTCTTAATTTTTTAATGTTCTTGTATAACCATTACAAGATCAATTTTTTTAGAACACGAGTGGCTTTAAATTAATGATAGACATATTTTTTTTATTAATAAAAATATAGCTTTCATTAATATTAGTGATAGAAATACTGTTGTCATTGATATTGGTGTTTATTTTTTATACTTATTTAGTAGTATTAGTCGTCTAATTTAGAATATAGAAAATATATAAACTGCTTTGTAAATTGCTTTCTAATCATTGTATAAAACTTTTTGTTTCAAAATCATTTTAATTAAGAGAAATACAAAAAAAATCCATAACACCGTTACAAAATCATTTTGTTTTCTTGTATTTAGCATAGGATGGCTATATATTTTGAAATTTAAAGTTTAAGACGATCTATATATATAAAAAAAAGATTAAGGTTGAAAGAGAAATTTTATAATACACTAGGAGTAACTAGTGACATATACGATAGTTACTCTATGGATCCACTTTTAAGAGAGAGAGAAACAGGAGAGAGAAAATAAAAAAATTTGAGCGGACGTGAAAATTTTCTTATCACTTTTGATGAGTATAGATGTAATTTTTATCTTTTTTTATGTATCTATCTCTTTCTTTAAAATAGATCCATGAAGTAACTACCGTACATGCCACTGAGTTACTCCTTACGTATTATAAATTTTCTGACGTTGGAATGGGTGCCTTTCGTTTTTAGTTAAATATTTGAAAGTTAAGATCCACCAGTGGTCTACAGAAATGGATGTGCTAAATCTGTAACTTTATTTAAAAATCAATACGGTGACTCTTCTTCTTTTTTTCAAATAACAAAAATTGGTTGATTTAAGTTTTCTTGATCGCTGCATATGGAGCACAGCAGGAGAAAAATTATCTTAAAACATAAATAATGTCACCTTATAATTTAATGGCAAGGCAAACTAAATGGAAATGTTGTTAATTTTTTCTAACTTGAAATGAATTTTAGATTTTGTTCCACCATAAGCCTCAAATCATCGTCATCCTCGTCGTCAGCATTTGAATCTCTTTTTCGTACTGTCTGTATCGTAGAAAAAAAGGTTAAAAAAGATTGTCAAATCAAGCTCAATGACGAAAGGTTTGAACATAAGCTTTCTTCAATGGCAAAAATGAAAATTAATGGCAAAAATGAAAATTGAAGTTTTGAAAGTAACCACTGTACATCCTTAAGAAGACAACGCAGTAGGCGATCCTCCTTGTTCAGGTAATGCAGCTCCTTGTTGATGTTAGGTGTGGCCATCATTGTCATTTGCATCAGTTGACCCTAATCAAATATAATAAGAACATCAAGTTTATATAAAAATGTCCAGTGAAAATAAAATAAGAATGATGCACTTTTGAGTCAGGAATGATGAAGCAGCAATAGCTATATATGTGCTAGGACAAGAATGTTTCATGGAGTTCATATAACCTGAACCATCCCACTATCAATAGCCCCAATTTAACATCAAATTCTGATTCTGGGTAAGGGTTTATTAAAGTCAGCTCTTATTGTTTCCGCATGCAAAAAACCAAAGACGTTATCTTCACTCACAAACAGCTCTTTTCATGGGGGTGTCCACATTTATTTGGTTCCTCAGAACTTTAACATGAGACTCAAATGAAATGACCCAGCAAAATTAGTTTGACTTAAAAAGACACAGATAGCCATGGTGGCAGATCTTGGATACAAGTACAAATAGATAGATTTTCAATTTCACATATTTTCTCCTTGGGGTTTAATTCAAGGTCACCAAGATGCACCAATTTCAAAAATACAGATCAAGAAAGAATCCGCTTTTTCCCCATTTACAAAATTCCATATTCTCATCACCGTTATTCAATAATCCTTTCTTATGACAGTATAATTTTTGACAGTTAACAACATAACCTACTTACACTAATCCCATCAGTCTCAAGCTTAAGTCAAACATCCATCCAACACCAACTTAACAAAAACTTCTATAAAATTTATTAATCCACTGCAGCCAATTCAATATTTTAGTACGCTCCAATCTTGTATGAAACTAAAATAAAGTCCTAAGAAATGGAAGAATGCCAGAGCAAAGATTATAATAGGGAACTTGCAAACAATATAATGGAACAAAAGACTTGCCAAAATAGAAAAAAAATATACAGATCAAGAAACCAAAGCATTCTCAGCATGCCAAATCCAAAGTCCAAGCAAACAGACACAAAAAACCAAAATACAACATTAGTTGAGTTATACCAAATGACTACAGTGGAAGCATATTCACCTGATAATGCCTTCCATCGAGCTTCTTAATACCATATCCCAGTTGAACAGTGCCAAAGGATTTTATATTAGTGATAACGCCGTTTCTACTATAAACATGCTTTCCTACTCGAGATGCCAAGTCCATCACGGCTTCCTTCCGTACATGAGGTTTCAACAGAAGCATACAATCATAAAGAGGCATCTTCGCTCTTCCTTATCTTCCTCAAGCAGGACGAGTTCACCAAACTGCTTAAGCAGAGTCATTCATTAGAATAAACAAAAGAAATTAAAGGTACAATCTTACTTCACTTTTTGTACAAATGGGTCACTCTAACAGTCAATCCTAAATGCCACAATCAAGTAACTTAAAACCAATAGCTAAAAATAATACAAATAAACAAGTTTTAAAGCAAAACCCAAAAAACTAGCATCGTATTTTCTACAACATCAGGCAACAAAGAAAAAGTTCAGTTTTTTTAAGAAAGGAAATGAAACCCTCAAAACGCTTTCAGCCATTTTTTGGCATATACAAAAACAGTATTTACATAAATTTCAAAAGATTGTAAGGCACCATCTATCTTGCACTGCTGAAACTCATACAGTGAAGAGCTGGTTATTCGAGCCCCTGGTTTTACTATATGCAGCTGTATTAACTTACTGCTTGGCAATACTAGAGCCAACCAGCTCGGCCAGCTGCAATAAAAATACAACATAATTACACTCTTTAATTATACTCTTTCAAGTATCGCCGATCCAACCTTTACCCTCACTGAGACATTTCATCGAACACCAAATACCCATTTCTAATACCAGCAAAAACAATAACAAACTAATCTCGTCAGATAATCAAGAGACCAAAAGTAAAAATATTCTTTTCTTCTTGTAGGTGTAGTAAATCTTGAGAAACAACTGAGGATCGTTTCTTTTGTTTTGCTTTGACAGTGAAAATGAAACGGAAGGAAACAACTGCGATAAAAACTAAAGCATTGTTTCTGTTTGATCAGATGAGAGAGAGGACCTGCTGGATGGTGGCGGTGGCTGCTCGACTCACTGGAGCGCTTGCTAAACCCTTCCTCGCTCTGATTCCGGGTTTTGCTTTGTTTCATATTGTTTTTTGGATCAGAAACGATAGAGAGCGACGAATACAAGGCCAAGCCCAAGTCTGTGTATGGGCCTAAATGTTAAGAAGCCGACGAATGAAAACGGATAAGTACACGAATGCCAAATTTGAAGTGCTTTAAGGCTCGGAGGAAAATAAGTTTTATATTTATAAACTCATTTTTTTTTCATTTTCCTCCATTTTTCAATATTTATTTTATATTCAGAAAAAAAGTCAATGAAAAAAAATTTTCAGTAAAACAAAAATGATAGAGTGTTTTTGAGAAAGTGTTTTTTGAGTTAAAAAAGAGAAAAATATTTTCTTATCTCTCACAAGTTGTTTCGCTTCTAGCGTTACTAACCTCTCTCTTTCGATATATTTTAAGAATTTTTTTCTCTGTCTCTTTTTTATTTAAAATATATTAAATTAATTTTAATTATTTCTTATCAATTATTTTTTTTATTTTTACTAACATTTGATTTTTCGATTTATAAATACATTAAATATTCTTAAAAATCATTTTTACACTTTAAAATTATTTTATAATAAATATTTTAATAATTTATCTCTATTTTTTTTTCATTATCCCAAACACCACCTAAACTATACTTAAATGATTAAAAATAATTATTACAAGACCGTAATCATTTGCTCCAAATGTGAATATTGACTTGATTTTGTTCAAAATAATTTTGATGAATTGGTTTGTGGGAGTGATTATATAGAAGTAATTGTGAGAGTGATTAGGATTTTTCACCAACTATGGAAGTAATTATTCCACTGCCAATGGATGTGATTTGACGGTAAAAAGAAAAAAAAATTGTCTTAATTTTTTAATGTTCTTGTATAACCATTACAAGATCAATTTTTTTAGAACACGAGTGGCTTTAAATTAATGATAGACATATTTTTTTTATTAATAAAAATATAGCTTTCATTAATATTAGTGATAGAAATACTGTTGTCATTGATATTGGTGTTTATTTTTTATACTTATTTAGTAGTATTAGTCGTCTAATTTAGAATATAGAAAATATATAAACTGCTTTGTAAATTGCTTTCTAATCATTGTATAAAACTTTTTGTTTCAAAATCATTTTAATTAAGAGAAATACAAAAAAAATCCATAACACCGTTACAAAATCATTTTGTTTTCTTGTATTTAGCATAGGATGGCTATATATTTTGAAATTTAAAGTTTAAGACGATCTATATATATAAAAAAAAAGATTAAGGTTGAAAGAGAAATTTTATAATACACTATGAGTAACTAGTGACATATACGATAGTTACTCTATGGATCTACTTTTAAGAGAGAGAGAAACAGGAGAGAGAAAATAAAAAAATTTGAGCGGACGTGAAAATTTTCTTATCACTTTTGATGAGTATAGATGTAATTTTTATCTTTTTTTATGTATCTATCTCTTTCTTTAAAGTAGATCCATGAAGTAACTACTCGTATATATCACTAGTTACTCCCGACGTATTATAAATTTTCCGACGTTGGAATGGGTGCCTTTCGTTTTTAGTTAAATATTTGAAAGTTAAGATCCACCAGTGGTCTACAGAAATGGATGTGCTAAATCTGTAACTTTATTTAAAAATCAATACGGTGACTCTTCTTCTTTTTTTCAAATAACAAAAATTGGTTGATTTAAGTTTTCTTGATCGCTGCATATGGAGCACAGCAGGAGAAAAATTATCTTAAAACATAAATAATGTCACCTTATAATTTAATGGCAAGGCAAACTAAATGGAAATGTTGTTAATTTTTTCTAACTTGAAATGAATTTTAGATTTTGTTCCACCATAAGCCTCAAATCATCGTCATCCTCGTCGTCAGCATTTGAATCTCTTTTTCGTACTGTCTGTATCGTAGAAAAAAAGGTTAAAAAAGATTGTCAAATCAAGCTCAATGACGAAAGGTTTGAACATAAGCTTTCTTCAATGGCAAAAATGAAAATTGAAGTTTTGAAAGTAACCACTGTACATCCTTAAAAAGACAACCCATCAATTAAACTTGGAATTTTTTAATTTCAGTTCCCAAATTCAACTTCCGAATTAATGGGTAATGACTTAAACGAAACGATGAAGGCTATCTTTTATTTTGCAACACAAAATTCAAGAATAAATTATAAATTAGTCCCTCTTGTTTCGAAGTCGCTCGCGAAAGGAAGATAATCGTTGCATGCAATGCGTAACGCGAAGAAGCAGATTGACCTACTTTCAACGCATAGGCTCGCCAGCGCTTTTGTTTTAAAAATTAATTATTTAATCATTATGTTTTAAAATCTACTTGTAATTTAATCATTTTTGTTATGTTTTAATTTATTTTGATTTAAAAAAAGATGAAAAGATTGATAAGAAAATAAGAGATTTTGTGGAATAAAAATTATATTAAATTAAGTATAATCAATACTGATTAAAGAACTAAATAATAGTTTTTGAAACTAGAGGAACTAATTAATTTGTTTCTTGAAACTAAAAGGATTGATTTATAATTTACTCCAAAATTCAATAGGCATCCAATTAAAAAAAAAATTAAAAATGGTACTATCACCATGAAACTCCTTAGGTCAACATCAATAAATAAATCACTGCATAGGTAATAATCTGAGTATAATAGCTACATTTTTTTTTATCGCATAAGAAAAAAATGTTTGTTATTTATTTATCATGTATAGAAATAGCTAGTTGAGCAACATGTAGTAGATTAGTATAAAGGTCAGCTTTATATCTTCCTTGGGCACACACTCCCTCCTTATCCAGTCTGACCAAAAAAAAAAAAAAAAAAAAAGCTATTACTGATAACAACACTTTAAAAATAATCCAAACCTGGTAACAAACAAACATCATATAATTTGGTTGACCTTGTGTAAGGTATTGCATAAGTAACGAGCATGATGTTTGTCCATGATGGCTACGCTGTGCTTTTATATTGCAAGTTTGCCTTGAAGTACATTTCGAGGCAGCACAGCACATGCCAGGATAGGGAAAACTAATTTCCAAGACATGAATGGGATACTCGGAAATAGAAAAGCAAAATAGCAGAGTGATTTGCCCGAAGTTGCGTAGCATGGAATTGGAATTTTTTTAGGAAACGATTAGAAATATAAAAATAATCACACAATACAATTTGTTTCTATTCCACGACTATATTAACAGTTTTTATTATGAGTTTTTATTAATGAGACTGTTATATTGACTCTGCGTAGTATACTAAATTACGAATCACATCTATATCAATCTCCACAATTTAATACTTCCAAAGATGACATTTTAGTTCACAAATAAACTTTAGTCTATACAATGACAGTAGCTCTCTTCCACAGCAAATTCTATCCTAGCTTTCCCAAGGTTTGAATATGAGACCTCCAAATAGAAACCTGAAGTGAAGTCTTAGCCCTTGATCTATGTGCTAACGTTTACGTTTAAGTTGGAACATAAAAGCCCTTTTCATCACAAGACAACTAGCTAGAAGAATTATCAGGATATGAGCTGTTAGTTCAATGCGTATGGCATGACTTGTTACGTCATCTACTAAGATTGCAATTTGCATGGCTGTGGGCAGTTCTAATGCACTTTAGAAACAGGTTAAGAGAACCAATATATACAGTTCTTAAAAAAATTAAAAATAATTATTACTTCTTTACATAAGTTGAACCAAAATAGGCTATGTCTGTTGAGCAAAAAATTACCTATTCAATATAAGCTCATCAAACCATATCTGAGGTTTCATGGTAACTCTCGCAGATTCCTGAAACCAAACATTTGAATAAGAATTTCAAAATTTTAAATTTCGGTTGGTACTGATTGAAAGGTATTTTGAAGACCATAGTACTTTCCTGTAGTATACTTACTACTAACGTATAGACTCGATCATTGTCCTTTCACTCAGAAAACACTACTCAAGAAGCCCCTACAAGAGAAAGCAATAGGTCACTTGAGGGATAAGACAGACAGTGAGGGTGCCAATATTTAGGAAAACATGGATGTTTCTTACCAAAATCCTGAGGCTTTCTTAGATTCGTTTCTGCAAAAGATAAATCAGAATAACATGATCTAGTCAGGAGAGCAAGATTTATACATGCGTAGCTATGCATACAATACGCAATATACAAGTGCACACATATATGTAGTTTTGATTTGAAATAAGAGATAAGGAGTGAAAATTTTGCAGCCCCTTTGAAGCATTTAGCATCTGTTGTGCAAGCATCCATTACCTTGGTTTCCCCATGAAGGCATCGTTTACATCATCAGTACTTGGCTTTTCAGAAAATGTCGACAAGATCACATACTTCTCTGTCCCCGATGGTTGGTCCACCCTCTTGTATAATTCATAACGATACGGATAAGACATCCTGAAATCATCAAGTGAGATTGTTTCACATTGTCTTGTCCACAAAAATGCTTCAGGAAGAAAAGAATTTGCATGCGTAACATATTGAACTGTTATTTAGTTTCCATACAATTAATTTGTGCAATCAATTACCATACCTTTTTAAACAGAACTACACATACACCAGTCTAACCAGGCAGGTTATAAATGGTGGGTCTATGGCTCATAAGATTAAATTATTGGCGAGATTAGTCCTCAAAAGAACAAAAAAGTTGTAGAGAACCAATCTACGACTTATGCCACACACAAAAAAGAAAGAAACAAAGAAAGAAAAAGGAAGAAATACCCTTAAATGAATTTACTACCTAGATAGGTGTAATCGGAACTAGAAGGGAAAGTAGAATGTAGAATGTCGAGTAACAAAAGCCGATAACAATCATGTTTGGCCAAAACTTTGGTTGCCTCAAAAGGTACTAATCTCATGGAGATCATACCTGAGAGCTCCCATGATAGGATACTGAGTTCCTGCATAATAGAGAAGCCGGAAGAAATAGCAACTTTCAAAGGAAGCAGCATACTCCAGTCTCTTGTCCCGACCGATTGTCTAAAAGAAAGTAGCTTAGTTAGGAACTGATGACTCTTATCAATGTCAGTTACTTGAGCTTTCTGGTACTTTACTACTTACTTGCATTATACCACTTGAACCAGGTAAGTCCTGAATTTGAAGAGATCCAGAGGAAAATGTTATATAGAAAGACAGATTACTATTCGCGCAAATTTATTTCAAGCAAGCAATTTTAATATTTAACTGTAACATGAGTTTGATACAAAAAGAGAATGGTAATATATTGAGCACTGAGACAGAATGCATAAAACGCTGAAAACATCCCTAAAATGTAATGCTTTTAATAATGCAAACATTTATTTCCTCCCAGAACACATGGTGAAGCGCGGCGAGAAACTATGGATTCACTTCCACAAGAGCTAGAAGGACAAAGGAAAAAGAGAAGCAGAACCAAAACCAAAACATTGCGAATTTGATCAAAATGGATATTTTGTATGGCAGGAAAGTTTTTTTGGATGAAATGGGGAACTCTTTCAAGTATGAAAGCATGTTATGTTCACCGTGAATTGCATGGAACTGAGACAGTGTGTACATTTCATATGAATTCTACTCTTGGCAATGTGTCCTGAAGCCATTAGAATATGAAATATGCTAAAATTCTCACGGCCATTTTTTATTCTGCAGACGTGAAAAGTAGGATGGACGTAGCAAAAAAAAAATTCTGTGAAAGGAAAGTTTGATAAATTTAGATAACAATCACCACCTTGAGCCTTGGATTAACGATAATTACTGGTCGGCTCCCAGCGGCAACAGTCATGGCTTGAAGATCCTGCATATTCAATCCAAGGTTAAAAACTAAAGGTTACAGTAAAGCATGTCTAGTAAATTTCTTCCTTCAGTAAAAGCTGGATGAGACATTTTCCAAAGTACTTACACCTATGATACAATTCCCTACGGCATTTTGAGGAGCCACTAAGATGAACAAATCATCATCTTCGTCAACCTCCTTTTCCCCTGAAATGATGGAAAAATATCAATTAAGAAGTCGATCAAACAACGATCCCTATCACGGCGCCCGGTAATGAATATAGAGGATACAGTGAAAGATCTGTCAACCTTCATATCATCAAACTTAACTTTAAATAACAGTGCACAACTAAATTGTGATACTATCATATACTAGAAGCATAAAATCACTAACTGGTTATTATAATAGGAATGATTTTAAATTCAGTCTCATACCTATAGAGCCAATCTTGATGAAGGTTCCCTTAGCACCATAATCACCCCAATCCATGAGCTCCAGAATCTTTCTAGTACCGGCCAATTGCAAAGGCATTCCAGCAAGTGCACCTTGCCCCATAGACCCTTGAACACAAACCTGACAGGAAAACCTCTGAATAACAGGATAGAAATAAACAACAGTTAAAGCATGGTGTTATTCACAGCTGCTAAATTACCTTGACACGCTTCCCATCATCTGCAAATGAAAGAGCAATGACTCGAACAAGTTCCATCAAGGTACCTATTCGATAAACATCCTGTGCATCATAAGATATGGTCAAATCCAAACAAACATACTATAACTTTAGAGAACAATTCCCTTACCATTTCTGGGTTCAGCTCTGGAATGTTAATGTCCACCTGTCACAGATTATAGTTCACATGAAAATTAGTATCGCCGTGGGCATGTACGTGTTTCCAGATCCTTAAACTACATAAAAAACACACTAAAATTCGGCATAGCTTCAAAGATAATTTGTCCTTTTCCCTTGCTTCCTCCTCAAACACGCGTGCCCACACACAGAAGCAGCACTATGCTAATATCATGCTAATACTACATATTTTTTTGGTCTACCAACTCTTCTTAAAAGAGGTAGTTTGCACTAGAAAAAGGTAGCAATGGCCAAGAAATTGCCTCCTCGCACATATTGAATGCTTCATTATTTCAATTTGAAGGATGCATTAATGAAGCAGCAAAGTACAAAGGAATTTCTGTATCTAGTTTTGAAATGACATAGAAAAGACACTAAGTAAATTCAATATAAGAAAATAAATTTTTTTGTTGATTAAAACAAAACTTTATGTTGCTAGCTAGATCAAGGCTGTTTCAAATAAGCAGCACAACACTTGCATCTTACCCTTAGCCTTGTTCTACCATCATTTACAGCTCTCTGTGTGGCTTGCAGCACATCCTCATAAAAATAATTCCTGATTTCTCTGGAATGAGGGATATTATTTAATCTAGTGGGAATTCCTCTCCATTTATCCTGTAAAGAACTAGGGAAAAATAAGAGATGTATAACAGGATTACTTCTTGGAGGTTTCTTATAACCTAAATGAATTTTGGATCAAGAAAAGCTAAAATTGATTTGTAGAAAGCATAGTTTATCCATATACCTGGCTAACTGATGCCTGACTAGAAAGACTTCTACCTTCAGGCACTGAATTTTCTGCAATGGAGAGCAGAACACGGTAAGGAAGGAGAAATCACAGAATATGATGTTACTTGATGATATATAACATAAATTCATACGAGTCTCTTTAGAATTTTAAATCATGCCTGACGTCTATGTTCTTATACAGATAACAATCGCTACAATTAAAATTACCATGTAATCAAAAGTAAACTTTAAGCTGCAAACTCAATCAAGTGCAAAACGAGATAGGCCCCAGAAACAGGCATGTAGGAAGTAGTATATATAAAAGCAATAAGGCACAGAAGAAAAACATTTATTTTCAGCAATTTATGAGCTTCACTAGCAGCAGAAACCTGCTTTTTTGCAGTTTGTGCTAAGCAAAAGACCCAGGTCTAGGGAGAAAATAACGGCATAGGAAAAAATCATTTCCTTCTTATATCCACATTTATATAGCTGCAAAAGTTAAAAGACTTTCTAGATCAATATTGAAAAAATGGTCAACAACTTACAGAGTGTGCTAGTTTAACTTCCTAAAGAACATGCAACAACTATCATTCTTCCCATTACTCAAAGGAGATAAGGATATCTTATCAGGGTATCAGTTGACAAGTAGCAGAATCAGTTTATAAATTGAAACAAACAATCTGTGACTGCAAAAACAATCAATCTAAATTAATGGTTCCTGCTTCCCAAAGTGGAGAAAAAGCATTCACTTCAAATAATTTAGTCATAAAAGCAGCATGTGATTCGGTAATTAGTTTAAGTTGATTTAAAACAAGCAAACAACTAAAGTTAACACAAAAGATAAAATCAAGAGTCAATCAAAAAGGTCGAAACAAGTTCTTATGAATATTTTCAGTTCTAGAGTAGTTCGTGACAGCCAGCAAAAAGATAATATCAATCCTATTGAAGTATAAATCTTGTGCAAACTTGCATAAGCACTTCAAACACTTGAAAACACGTACCAGATTTGACCATTTTTATTTTATCTTTCTGCACTTGAGACAACAAAGAATCTATTTCTTCAAAGACTACTTCTTTTTGACGGTTTCCATCAATCTGCATTTTGAATAACATAGAAAAATTACTGACAGAAAATGTGCAGAATAAGTGACAGAAAATACAATAAGAAAACTGAGATTACCTTAACCATAATGTTCGAGTAAGTGGATGAGATTGCTTCTACATTTTTCTTGTATATTTCAAGGCGTGCCTTTACCTAAAACAAGTTGGACAAACCAAATGTCAGGTGCCAAATACGCATCGGATTTTAGCTTATAGATGGACAAAATAGGTTCAGGTTTCCAAATAGATACAAAATTTGTGTAAATTGCTTCTTCTAGAAACGTTGCTCGCTTTTTTCTCAAGTTAATTAGAAGTGAAAGAATCTCTTGGTATACAGCTGCACGGCATTTATATATGATTTTAGGCACAAGATTAAACAAAAAAGTATGCCTCAACTCTCAAGAGTGCACATCACAATGCAATAAATGAGCAATGAACAACTGTGACATACCTTTTCCTCAGTGTCATCTGGACGGGTTACGAGTCTTGCTTTAATTTCTTCAGTCTCTGGAGGGAAATTTTTTACGTGGTAAATCTTTCCTGTCAGTGGGTCTAGCCTTCTACCAACACATCTGTCGATCAGAATTTCATCAGGAACCTGAGTATTAAAAGATACATTTCATGAATATCAAAGAAACGGAACGTTTGAGATAGAAAAATGTCTAATGCATGCCAAGGCATATTATCACAGAGGACCTTCATCCTTCCTCAGAGCATTTAACATTTAAAGCATTCAATACATAGGAGAAAATTTGTGAAGATATATCACAGACGTAAGACCAATGTCAGCATTCAAAGCATATCATTCACTGAAAAATTAACAATTAAAGACATATATTCCTCTACTGGTGGAAAACTAACTACAGCAAGTTCGAACACAACATGGAATTTTGGAATTATCCTAGTAACTTTTATATCAGTTTCTTTGCACACAGAAACATACACATATTTTGATGGACATGCATTTTTTTCTTCTCGTGGACATATTGGGGTATTCTCCAATAATTTGTACTGAATAAATTCCTATAACCTCATTGGAAGCTAGGCACTCTCATCTTCTGATATAATCATGAGCAAAGATAGCATCATTATGCAATTTACGTACATCCAATACAACATAGATATCTGGTCTGATGTTCAATTTTTCAAGACTTTCTGCTTGGGCGGCACTCCGTGGATAGCCATCTAGAAGCCACCCTTTTTTCTTTGCATCTTCCAGTGATAATCGTGCTGTCACCATCTGCAAAGTGAAACAATTCATTCCTTGTGTACCAGAGAAAGGAAATGAAAACAGAGCAGAGGCTGGTAAAAATTCATAGGGGAAATAGTACCGCTGTCACAATTTCATCAGGAACCAGACGACCAGCATTCATGAACTCTTTTGCTTTATTTCCAATTTCTGTCCCTGCAGATACTTCAGCTCTTAGAAGATCACCAGTTGATATGTGTACCAATCCAAACTGTAAAAATCAATGCAGAGAAAGGATGAGAATAAGTACTCATCACTTAGACTGAAGAGAATGAGGCCTAAACGAACTACTTTCGGAATGAAATGACATCAACTACAAGATCAAATAGGAGTGCCGAATAGATGCTCTACCACAAGCTAAACACAACTTCTAATCAAAGGGGAAAACTAACCCTCCTTTCCCTCAATCCATCCATTGCAAACAATTAAAACCCACTTTTGAGCAATTCAAACTCAACACCCCAACCCCACCAAATTGCAAACGGAGAATAATTTACTTCCACTTGCCAATTTCCAAATTCAATGCCATTTGAACCCTCATAATCCAAACAACTCAAAAGTTAGTGCTTCAAAAACCAACCAGTGACCACAAAACAAGAGAATTAAAGATTACACAAGAATAAAAATAAGGAGAGTTTACCTTCTTGACAATTAGCTCACACTGAGTGCCTTTGCCAGATGCTGGTGCACCTGATATCATCACCTTCAATGGCTCACTTGTGGAACAACTCACCCTCAATATTCCCTGCATGCCCTAAAGAAAACAGACATAACAATCTATATAACATTCATAAACCAAGAAAAGAAAGCTATAAAGCACAGTAATAGTACATATAGATGAACAAACAAACCTTGGGTTTGGAGTTTATCCTGAAAAGGGTTTTGGTATTGGGGCCAAAGGAGACAAGATGACGATGTTGAAGAGAAGATTGTTGGAAAGACAGAGATGATGATGATGAAGAAGAGGCAGAGAGAGAAGAGAAAGGGGAGAGAGAGGGTGTGGAAGAGGCATTGGTAGAGTGGACAGATGACAGCGAAGTGGTTAACATTGTCTGTCACTCTTGTTTGCTGAGATACAAAGAGAGATCAAGTTCAGTGAAGAGAAGCAAAGGTTTCTGAAGAGGACAAGGAAGCGATGATGGTGGATACTATAACGGATTAACGGACACCACAGATTCTTTCCTTTTCTATTTCTTAAGGCCCTCCTTTTTCTCCAGTAAATTATAAATAAATCCCTCTAGTTTTTAGAAACGAATTAATTAGTTCTCGTTTTTTTTAAAATTATTATTTAATTTTTTTATCAGTGTTATCATACTTAGTTTAATATTATTTTTAGTTTATAAAATGTCTTCTTTTCTCGTCAATCTTTTTTTCTTAAAATAAAAAATCAAAATAAATTGAAAAAGAACAAAAAGAATAAAATTACAAATAGATTTTTTTAAAAAATGAAAAATAAATGATTAGGTTTTAAAATAAGAAAAATTAATTTATTTATTTTCAAAACGCAGAGGACTAATTCATAAATTTTTTCTTTAAAGGGCTTTGAAAAAAATGGAAAAGACCATAGGTGCATTGTTAGGAAGATATTTTGAAATTTGCATACGATCCCATTTTTGTGATATGGTTGGTTATGGATTGTATTTTCGAGTTAGCTTTCATGGAATGAATTCTATATATTTATATAAAAAAAATTATTTGAGATTTTCTTTTTCATTTAGTTTGATGAATAAATTCGCCTATTATCTAAACCAAAAGGAATTCGATATCCTACTCAATTTTACTGTTAGGTTTCTAATTTCATGATATTATGCTTCAACTTTTCTGTACAATTGCTCCCTTTCTACTTGCAGTTTCAAAAAAAATAATAATAATAATAACTTTCTGCACCCGTATTTTTTGTGATATCATTTTTTTAATTTAATTTTAACTAATAATTTCTTAATGTACAAGGTAGAGGTTCGTTGTGCCTTCTAATGATTAAGTCCCGAGGACTAGCTTTTACCCTCAAAAGAATTATGGCGGAAAATTGAGGCTGGCCTAGCTGCAAAGGGCATCTCTTACTACCAAATAGAATGAGGACCATCCTCGGTTCTTAAATTCCTAGATAAGGAGGTGACAGAAAGAGAGGTGTCATTTGGCTCCTTACTGGTTTTTTCATGTCAGAGTTCTGTCCTTAGTTTTTTATAGACGTCTCCAAATGGGTAAATGTAAAAGACATAAATTTTCATGTTTGACGTCTGATTTGCCTATCCATATACCCATTTTATGGAAGAAAAAAACTTAAATTCCTTCTGTTTGTTTTGCAAATATTTTTTTTAAGAAAAATGTTTTTTCTATTTTCCAGTTACAAGAAAATAAATCAACATTATTTTAACCTTAAAAGAGAGAATATTTTCTTTGATAATACTAACTGACAATATTTATTAATATTATAATTTAACCTGTTTACGAACCACCACCTCACCATCGCCAGCCACCACCACCTACAGCATTATACACACCGACACCATCATATACAATCACTATCTTACTGTCAAAGTAACTACCATTTTATCATAATCCCACCACAACCCTCCAACACCACCCCCACCTGCAACCACCACCTCCTCACCTGCAACCACTACCACCATTACTATCATCTTGTATTTAAATAAACATCATTACTAACATCATCTTGTATTAAAGTAAACACTATTACAACTTACAACTATCGTTTTATCACCACCATTGCTGCCCGCCACCACTGCCACAGCAACAATCACCTTACAATCACCACTACTACCACCAACATTACCAGAAACACTACCATAAAGACTGTCATCATAACTATCACCACCGCTATCACTACGTCTATTACTAAAACAGCTTTTCTCATCTTATTATCATTGTTTTCCTAAATACATCCAAATAATAAAAAATAACTCAGTTTTCCAACGAATATTTTCTACAGAAAAATGTAGAAAAACATTTCGCAAAACAAACGCATGTTGGAATTTTCTAAATAAATGCACCACTTTAGACCTGAATGATTTGCCTAAAATCTAACTAGAGATTTGGTCTCTAAAGCTAACCGGAAAATAACCATGCAGAATATTAGAAGTTGGACACACCCACACCTCACCCCCTGAAACCAGCCCTCATCGACAGCCTTGCTCCTTGGTCAGGCGGTTTGGCAAGCGTTAACAATAAAATGGATACTCAGAATCAAGAACGAAGGCACAAAAAATAAAATCAAAGCAAAACTAATGAAGAGAAATACAAATGATAAACATTACTGATTGCATTTGATCGTAGGAAATCCCACCGACTACCACCAACTATGCCAAAATGCAAAATAAGCTTGTGTAACATACTACCATGCCATGATCTCCATCTAATAAAGAATTATGCAAAACTGAGCGAAATTATTGTCATAGTAACATATAGTAAACATCCTAGCAAAATAAACTCAAAGAAAAGCAAAGCAAGATGGACTATTGTAAAGAGTTGCGTTCATTTCTGCCCCCAAATGACAGTATTGTTCATCGAAGTTCCACGTCTCTTAGCATGAGAAAGTTTTTCAATCCAGCTTCACTGAAGAGAACAAGTAGTGCACAAACCAGAAAGATGAAAGGAACCCAACAGAGCCCATTGCAAACATGATTGCCAAAGCCATCAAGAGAGAGTACCCAAGGTAAAGTGCTTCCGAGACAGGGCCACTCAAACTCTTAAGCTCAAATATGAGATAGTTCACGGAGTACAGGAAAATGTAGATAGCAACTGAACCAGAAGCAAAGAAGGATTTCCACCACCATTTCCAGTCCTCCACACAGAGATGCATGTAGGTTAAGACAAGAGATACTTCAGCACAAACCACCACAAGAAGGATGAAAACAATCAAGAGAAACCCGAAAACATAGTAAACACGGCCCATCCAGATACTAGACATGATAAAGAAGAGCTCAATGAAGAGTGTGCCAAAGGGAAGAGTTCCAGCTCCAAAGACCAATAGCCAAGACGGATATTTTTGAGCTGGGATTTCCCGAGGAATCTGATTGGTTCGAACAGGGTATTCAATATGAGGCGCCTTCGCCCCAAAGTACCCCCCAACTAGGGTAAGAGGAACCGAGATGCAGAACCACATGAAAATCAGAACAACAAACAGAGAGAATGGAATGGCACCAGTGCTATGGCTACCCCATAGTAGAAAATTCAAAGTGGTTAAAATCAAAAAGGAAATGCCAGGGAAGAAGCAAGCAACCTTCCAAGAAACTGAAACCCACCCCTTCTTATCGCCACAGCCAATTGTCCTCCAAAGACGAACTGCAACATAACCAGCTGCAATACCAAGAATCATGTAGAAAAGTAGCATGCCTATAATCAGAGATCCGCGGGAAGCTGGAGACATGAATCCGAGGGCAGCAAACATTACTGTCACAACTGCCATCCCAAGAATCTGCACCCCATCTCCAACCATAACACACAATAGCCCAGCATTAGTTGGAGCACGGAAAACATCACCCACGACAAGCTTCCACCCAGATAACTCCTCATTCATCTGGGCTTGAGCTTCCTTGTCAAGCTCCTCATAACGGGTCAGATCCCGCCTGACAGTCCTCAAGAAGATGACCAGGACAATACCAGCAAGGAAAGTGATTACCATCAGAGAATTCAAGATTGAGAACCAATGGACCTTAGACCCTTCCATCTTCAAATAAGCATCCCATCTTGACGGCCACTTGATATCACTCTCCTCAAATGTAACCTCATAAGTGAAAACAATTGGCTCGTTCTCCTTAATTGGCATTGCCACAGTGGTGGGATCACACTTAATAGAAGATGGGTATTGCCCATACGGTTTCAAGTTCTTAACAGACTGAGCATTATGCATGACACTACAAGGAACCACCTCAAACCCCACAACCATATACCCAGGAAGTTCTGATCCCCCACTCCCAACCGTAGGAATCAAATCGGACCCGTCTCCAGTCCCCATCACACGTGCCACATTGGCCTCCTCATACTTATGAACAAGTACAGTAAACTTCAAGTGATTAAACACATAATAACCATCCTGAACCTTAATCCCCACGGGATACCCCGTCCACCTCAAAAAATAAGACTCCTTCTTAGCATACCTTATCGCAGGCAAATTATCAAGAATCAAATTAACCTGATACATCTCATCAATCCTCTTCTTTAAAAGCTTAAAGTTATCACCCGACAGCGGATCGGTTTGACACAGAAAGATATCGGTCTCGTTGGTGTGCATCTTAAACTTATAAGGTGAGTTCTCTATCCTATCTCCCATTAGAACCTCACCAAGATTTTCAGCACTATCTTTAACACCCTCTAAAGGCTTACAGAAAGGCAAACTATAATAGCTAAAAGGAATCTCAGTCTCAATAGAAGTGATAGAATTCACTTTCACTGATAACGTATCACCAATACCATATTTGTGAGGGTAACTACCAGGAAGGTAAAACCCATATCCAGATTGGAAAATCAAGATCAGGGTCAAGACCCAGATCTTAAAATGAGCAAAAAAGTCCATTTCTTTAGAATTTTGAAAGGATTTCAGTCAGATCTGGGAGACCCAGATCGTGAAAACAAGGGGTTAAGCCCTAAAGGTCTGGTCTTCACTGGTTTTTTCAGTAAAAGTTAAGATCTTTGATAATAAAAAAGAAAAAAACATACAGAAGTTCTAGCTATATAGAGGGGCAAAAAAAAGAGAGATTGATAACCTGACCTTGCAAATATATTGATGCAAAAAAGAGAAGAATCTGCAATATAGAAGAATTGTGCAGCAAATACAGATCTTTGAGATTTTGGAAAAATGGGATTTTTGAGAGACGGAGAAAGACTTGAAGATCAGAAGGCAGAACAGACTTTATAGTATTGGTTTTGTTTTCTTGGAGTGCCGACAAGTCTTTTGATTTTCATGGAATGACAATATTAGCCCTTTGTTTTCTATTAAAAAAAAAAAGTGAGTAAATTATAAATTAGTCTTCTCTTTTCGAAAAATAATTAATTAATCCTCTAATTTCAAATTTTAATTATATTTAATAAAATGTATTCTCTTCTATCAATATTTTCATAATTTTTAATTTTATATTTCTTTAAAAAGATTAAAATAAATTAAAAAATAACAAAAAAAAAACTAAATAGTTAGATTTTAAAACTAAAAAAATTAATTAATTCGTTTCTCAAAAAAATAAAAGACTAATTTACTGAAAAAGTTAATTTTAACCGTCCTATAAATAAATGCTTGATATCGTCAGTAGAATGGGTTTTTTATTGCCAAAGTAGTACTTGTCACATCGTAAATTCGTTTTCTATTTAGCTTCTTTTTTTCTTTCTTTTCTTTTTTTAATGAATTTTGATCGAGATTTTAAGGATAAAAAAAGTGTGTATCTCTTTCTTTCTTTCTTTCGTTTTTCCCGTTTTGTCCTATCTAGAATTCCACAATTTTATTGGCAAATTGGTACTAATCTCACAAATTTGCTTTTCGTTTTAGCTCTTTTTTTCTTTTTAAAATTTTTTATTATAATTTTATGAAAATAAAAATATAAATAGTAGTCATCACTACAAAAAAAAACTTACTACCACCGCATCAAAAGCTTATGAATGAATATTTTTTTAGTTAACAGTTCTTTTTATTTATTTATTTATTATTATTATTATTGGATTATAACAAAAGAGTTACAATACAAATTAATGCTATTTTTCCATTGAAAGTAGGTGTACAAAAGAGAATTACTCAAACTTGAAAAACGGAAAATGCATGGGGAGAATTGAGAAAGCACTGGCTCAAAGTTAATGCTATTTCTAGATCTGGTTTAATGAATCACAAAGCTTCTCAATTTTCTTTGACCAAAGGTGTTTCTCTCTGATATTTAATTCTGTATCGTGATGAACAACCAAGCTTTCACAAAAAGCTCGATTTCTTGTAGCTTAGATCGAACTCTATTTTTTTTTTTCTTATTGTTTTATCTCTATTTTTTAATGAAGAGAATAGAACATGTCAACATGGGGCACCAAAAAAAAAAAAAAAAAAAAACAATTTCTTCCCATGTTAAGGTAAGGACAGGCTTAAAGCCTCAATAATTTACCAAGAATCAGGTTGGTGATCTGATCAGTGCTCAGGACTGGCTAACTAATATTATTAGTCCCCTATTATGCATAATAAGTCCCTTTGGATCTTCAAAGAATGATAAGTACAGCATACAAACTTTGATGAAGAAAGGCTACCACAAGAAGTAACAGCATAGTAGCAATTAAGAGAGGATTGTTTGTGACAGATCCCTGAAAGGGGTTCACATTTTCTCACCTTCTCTGTCACATGCATAAAGCTAGAAGCTTCCACTTTGCACTTCCCACAAGTTACGCCACAATGCAAACCATTTACTTGGACCTAAAAAAACGTCAGAGAAACAACAGCTAAAATACTCCGAATCAACCAGTAAAGTCAATTTTCTCTCAATGGCAATCAAAGACCAGGAGTAATGGTTTTAGTGAAACACGAGTAAGGTAGATATATAAGCAGACTACGAGTTCATTTCCATGATTCTGCCACTAATCCATGCGCAAAATCCGAATTAAGAAATGGACAATAAGTATTAGTAATTAGGTTTATAGCTTAGATAAAATTGAACCTGTGGTGGTTCCAGACAGGGAAAAAAGATCTTGGAGTCAACAGGTGACCGTGAGGAATCAATTAAGTTTCCCTTGAAGCAGTTCGTCTGAGTGATTGGGTAGCAATACAAAAAACGAAAAGACAAGCTCAAAAGCGAACCATATTTTCCATGGCTGTGCGTATTTTCATCCCCGGCAACTTGGGAGATGGCTTATTTAGAGGAGCCGCAGCAAGATTCCACGGCAGTCCCAAATACTTCCCCAAGTTCTATCATCGTTTGTTTCAACAAACGTGTCCCCAAATGAAAAACAAAGGTTTTGTGGCAAAAAAATTGTCACCGTTTTTTTTTGTAATTTCATATTTTTATTAATTTGATTCTCAAAATATTGACTTTGAAACAAATTTTATCCAAATCCATTAATTGTAAATTCACAGTTATTTTCTTCGTTGTTAATTTTTTTAAAAAAAAGAAGGTTAAAAATGTTTTTACTCTATTTTTCAATAAAGATTTTTTTTCATTCGTTTACCTATAAATAAATAAAAATTTCATTAAATTTATCATTAAACTTTTTTTGTTCTCTCTAAAAAAAAGCTTTTGCTTTTTTAACCAATCTTTAAAAAATTATAAATAAAACAAAATTAGAAAAGTTTCAAAAAAATGATTTTCTAAATCTAACAATTTTAAATACATATTATATATTTGAATCAATCGTAAGAAAAAAATCTTATAAAGCATGTGAATATAAAAAATATTAAATAAATATAGTTATATTTAAAATTTAATGATCGACAATCACAAAAATAATTTTATTGACATGACAAAAAATTTCAATTAAAATTAATTATTTGATAATTTCAATTGATCAAATTCAACCAATAGATATTTGTATTTTATTAATTATAAAAATTGATTATTTTAATGGAGAATGATACTACCTAAAAGTTTTTTTTTTTAATTAAAAAAATCATATTCAAATAACAATTTGATTGACTATGAAAAATCAAAAGGATTAATATGTAAAAATTTTAAAAAGAAAAACCTCTCTTGAAAAATGAAGAAAAAGCATTTTTAACATTTTTTTTAAAAAAATTAACATCAAAAAAACAGCAAAAAGAAAAAATTACGGATAAACTGGATTGACAGATACAATTAACGATTTTGGACCAAATTTGCCCAAAAAACAATATATTGAATTCAAATTACGCAAATTGATAATAAAAATCAGATTGCAAAAGAATGAAAACAATTTTTTCCATTAAGCCTAATCTAAACAGGTAATAATCCAGTTATAGCAGAACTTACTTCCACTTCATTTTCAAATGAATGGGCAAGAAGAACAAATAGAAGGGCCAGGAAAGCAATAGATGATCATACTCGTAAAGACATCTTGAGCACCTTGATTATGAAGTTGGTAAAATTAACTAGAGTACAAGGGAAGATCAATTTATCAGTAAGTACCTTTGAATTTCAGTAGCCTCTCTCTCTCTCTCTTTTTTCTCTCTCTTTTTTCTTTTTCTTTTTTTTTTTTTTTTTTTTTTCCTTGGTAGGGAAAAGCAAAAGATACTACCTAACTTTTTGCACCCAATCCCCGTGCTTTAGGCCTCCTAACAGCAACTAAAGGGTTGACAATACCTTGGGAATCTTTGCCCAGGCCCATGCCTTCAACAAAACCCATCCTGGCCATCATCTTGGATCCAAATCCTTTGGTGTGCTTTTCAAAACCTCCAAAGCTTTGAGTTTTGCTATGTTTTCCAGACGTTCCAGTTCCGGTTCCAGTGCTTTGAGGTTTATTCTTCACCGAGTCAACACTGATGTTGGAAAAGTCAACACCCAACCCAAGTGATTTAGGCCGCTGGATCACTTCAATAGGTTGAGCCATACCTTGACCATCCTTTCCCAATCCTCCACCTTCTATAAATCCCATTTTTGCCATCATCTTAGATCCAAATCCTTTAGTGTGCACCTCAAATGCACCATACTTCGATGAGCTTGTGGCATCCTTGTTTTCACCAGTTTCATTTCTCTCTTGAGAATCCACTGTTATGGTCTCACCAACTCCAGATTGCATTACTCCACTTGATACAAAAGACACTGGTTGATTAGCATATAAAACATTTCTCCCAACACTCCCCCTTGCGCTTTTCTTCTTCCTATTTCTGTCTGCGCTAGCTGATTTTGTTTTTGAGCCTGCATTAACAGAAAAATCAGCATCCTCATCGCCAGCCCCTATCAGCTGAAATCAAAAGACAAGACATTGTGAGAGAATGAAAATCTGCAAAGCAGCCAGCAATGCAGAAATCACTAAAAATGTTGAAACAAGAGCATGCAATTGCATAAATTGCATGAGATAATTGGAAGAAAATTAGGAACCTTTTCTAGACGGAGTTTATCACTTGCTGAAGGCATGCATGTGTGCTGTGTTCGCGTCACTGTAACAAAGCTGAAACAACAAAAAAAATTATCAGCTAGTTTTAGCATCAACCTCAACAAAATATGAAGAATTAGTTCATATTGGTCACCTTTTCTTGCCAGAACCTTGGGACCCACTATGCAAGCGATAAATTGCTGAAAGTCGTCGAACCTAATAGTAAGGAAGCTACTCCATTAGAATGTTGTTAGATCTGATGAAGGTCAAAAGCAAATAAAATCTATTCCAAAAAAATGAGGGAAAATCCTTGCTTATTTGTTAATGAAGCATAAAAAAGCAAAATCAGTAAGACATAAAGGAATCAAATTTCCATACCTGGGAACAATCTCGTGAATGCATAGGTTGAAAAGAAAATATATCCACTTCATCCAAAACAATCTGCTCTAGTTTCTATAATTTAAGGGGGGAAAAGGGGAAAAAAAAAAAAGATGAAGTCATAAGTTCTTTGCTATTAGTTATACTTACTCGATTAGATCAGTATAGTTCATTGTTCATAAATCTTAACTAGAAGGCACATGGCAATATAAACAACATGAAAAAGAAGAAAACACTATTAATCTCTCCAGCTTCATTAGCATGCAGACAAAATCAATTATGAGATCGTGCCTGAACTTGAGAATTTTTCCATGATTGTAGGCTTTTCTTTCAAGGAAAACTGCAAACAACAAACAGTTTCAAGCCTAAAGTCATGGAAGAATCTTCAAGTTCAATAGTCTCCTGCTTAAATTAATCCATTCGCTAGTGCAACTTGAGAGAGAATAGCAGGCTTTCTGTTTGCTACATCTGGTAAACATATCTAAACATGCTGATGCCTCATAAAACTACAAACACAAAGCATTCAATGAGAATATAAGGAAATATAGTATGCAAGAAATTTGTTGTTACTTCACATTATTTAGTTAAATTATGAGAACCACAAGCTTACTAATCTTTATACAGATTTGGAAACTTATACCGTGTTTCATTCGAAGGATAAATAACAGCACGGAATAACAAGGCAAGAAAATAGGATAGATGACTGTTCCCTCTGGTCATGGTTAAATAGGATAGAAAAGGAAGAAAGCATACTTCCTTCTTTGGTTGGAAGGAATAAGGAAAGAGAGCAAATAACTAAGAGGTAAAAGTAGAAGAGCCCAAACTTTCCTTCTCAATCATGTCCAATTTGGAAGAACTGAAAAAAATCTGGCCTAGAGGGAAAGGAGGGATCCTCCTCTTCCTTTATTGGGCATATATTCACCTGACCAAATGGAACACACAACTCATCCTTCCTAACCCTTCCGTCTCTATTTCTTCCATTGATTCCCATTTGCAATCAAACAAACCCAACAACAGATCTTGGTGATGTCTCATTCTAAAAGGGTAATGTTTTTTTAGTCACAAAGATAAATTCTTCTTCTTCTTTTTTACTTTTGCTGATAGGTAGCTTGCAAACTGAATGATATTAATATGTTGGTTCTCATTCAAACTAACATGAATTAGACTGTTGACCATTTATTTCATCCATAAATGTACTTTGAAATTAATGGTACTAATAAATCAATTCCTTCCTTTGCTAATAGGCATACAAATGAACAGCCGTTTATTAAGCTATTGGAAATATCAGCAACAAAAAGAAAGGAGAGGACAATCAATCTAATAAAGATTCATTTTACCTTATTTATTTTCTCTAAATCAACTCCCCGGCCCAGCATTCTCTGACGACGCTTGACAGCAATCATTTCTTTCCGATGTTTCTTTTTTTCACCTGAATGATAAGCATGCAAATGCATACAAAAAAGTTAGTTGCACCATGTGATTTTCCATAGAAATCAAAACGTCAGATAACAATAACTTCTAACTTCAAGAAACTGAAGCAACCAACCACCTTGTTAATATCATTTTGATACTCCGGAAGCAAAAAAAGGGACAGTGGATTCCAGAGACATGTACACGAGTACGCATAAATGTAAAAGCACGTGCATAACATGCTCACACATTAAGACAAAGGAGGTTATGCATTTGATCCCACCAATTAATAAAGGTAGCAGATATACAACATTTTACATGTAGAATGCAATTAACTTAACAACTATGCATATAAACAAACATTACCAGGAAAATTTCGGGAGTTTTTTCTCCTTTGAGCCTCTAAAGGCCAAGACCGAGGGAAGCAGGCAGCTTGCTTCTTTCTCACAGAGACGGTTCTTGGATCCTTTACAAGCATTAAATCATCCAGATCTGGCAACACATTTCTGCCAGACGAAGCATGGTTCTTTCTTGATTGGGGTGTCTCCAGACCATATCTTCTAGATGCCTCCTGGAGGGCAATCCCCCCAACTTCTGTACAGTCTCATCAAAGCAACCACTAGAAGAACTATCCTCATCTGAATCATCCAAATCATTTTCTACCAACCATTTGGCATCTAATATCTTGGTGCGGCCGCCAATTCCTTCTAAGTAATCTTCTGCAACTTCATCATCAACATCCAATTCACTATCAGATGTGTCATTAGAGTCATCACTTTGAGACAGTTCAACTAGTTGTCCTCGTTCAGAAGATTCGGAGCTTTCATCCAGGGAATCCTCATCACTTTCCCCATCAGATATATCTTGGGTGAATAATTTCATGCCTCCAATGGACAAAAACGCTGAATTTTTCTTCGGAGATGCTGCAGTCAGCATTTCTTCAACCATTTCTTCACCTGCCTCACAGTTAGCAGTGTCATCAGCATCCATTTCTTTTTCAGACGGTGGTGAATCAAAAGAAGATCCTTTCTGCTCTTCCTCTTCCATTTGCTTCGAGGATGATTCAGCACCTGGGGTAGCCTCAAATTCCTCACAGAACCCCAATCCCCTATGTGAGCTCTCGCCGAGCAGAAAATCTGAACTGTAATCATACGTTAAATTCAAGTTACAGGGTGCCAAAGTTGGTGTTTCATCTAAATAAGCAACAATCTGGTTCTCCTTCGAATCGACTAAAACAATAGGTCGCGACTCATCCGTATCTCTGCTGGTGCCCTCCTATAAATATTAAAAAAAAAAAAAACACTGTAACTAAAATCACCCGAAGTAATATTTTACCAACTTCCAATCTTCAACACAATAATTAAAATTGCTTAAACAAAATGAATGTTTCTGGTTTCATTTGTCTGAAAGTGACAGACTGCCATGAGCTTTTTATTAAAGGGAGAAACTTTTCTTGAGCTCCATTAAAGTAGATAGATAGTTCGGCAAAGTTCAAAGTAATTGTGAATCTCTGATTCAAACAACTTTTTTTTTTATTTTAATATATGTATCTTCAGAATGCAAGACAAATACATTTGACAAAACTCCTTGCTGGCCATATTATAGACAAAAGAAAATTAAAAAAAAGATCAAGTCAAAGAAAAGACATTTCTTATTCCCAAAGCCCAGGAACTGATGTAATTTTTAGCAGCTGCAAAAAATGAAATGACACAAAGCATCCATTTTAAACCCTAAACTAAAAATAAAATAAGAAAGGCAAACTTGAAGCTGAAAGTGCTAATCACTCCAATCATAAAATTAAAATCCAATAAAGAGTTTGCTGGATAGATCTCTTTATCTGGTCTACTCACATATTCCATATAAACAGCTGGAAATCAACTCTTAGTAATAATACCTGAAGATCAAGAGAAGGATATCTATAACTGAAAGCATTTCCATTCGATTTAGGTGGTCCATTCTTCGAACCCGAACCCTCTTTTCCTTTACTAGAATTCCCCAGTTTCAAACCCGACTTGGAATTCGAATTCACATTAGCACTCCTTCCTGCAATTCAACACCAAAAAGGAATCCAAAACAAAAGCATAGAAGAACCGAAAAAATCCAAAAAAGAACAGAAAAGAAGACTTATTTCACTTCACACTATTCCAAAAACCTAATTCAGCTCAAAATTAAGCTCATCTGAACTTGAAGTTTTGATTTTTTCAACAAAAATACTTTAAAACAAAAACAATGCATATAAAGAGAGAATTAGGGGACCTGATTGGTTAGGGGGCCAATCGGCCAAGACACCGCCTTCAACAAAGAGAGAATTTCGAATTGATTTTGATCGCCTTCTGCTGCTGCTGCCGCCACCACTGTCGCTTTTGGTATTTCTATTGTCGTTTTTGTTTTTCCTGTTTTTGTTGTTGTGATTGGGTCTTCTCCTACCTCTTCCTGCCATGGCTGTCGTTTCGATCTTCCCTAACTGCTGCCTTGCCTGGTTGAAGAAGAAGAAGAGGACTTTCTCGGTTTTTTGTGTTTTTGGTTTGTTTGGGTATCACAATCTTGGATAGACATTTTCAGGATATCAAATTGATGTGTCGTTTGATTCTATTCGGAGTCCGAACGTATGGGCTGATTTTTTGAAAGCCCATTAATACTCGTAAAAAGATTTGCTGTGATTTTAGGAATTTTAATTTAATTAATGAATTAATCAACCCCCTTTTTTTTTTTTTTACACATAGATAGATTTATTTAGTATCACGACATTCCAGACTACGAAGGGCATGTTTGGCTGGGGAACCCCATCCATGATCCATGGACTCTTCTTTTTTTTGTATTTTTATTTTTTTTAACCATTGCAGACTGGTTAAGTACCTATTTTACTGTTTATGTTGTTTAATTTGTACTTCAAAACTCCACGCATTCCCCCACCCAATATGGTTTGAAGCATTTCAATAAACATTTCAAGCCAACGATTAATATTTTCGCCACATGACAAAAAAAAATTATTTAAAAATTAATATTTTCAAGTTTTAAATAATCTAAATTAATAATATAGATTTCATTTTATCACAATTCCAATAATTTAAATATAAATTATGCCTTTAAACCATTGATAGATTGAGCCCATTTTTTTTTAGGTTTAATAGTATATTTTGTCGTCATTCTATTACGATTTAGCAATTTCATACCCATGACATCAAATTGTATAATTTGAATTCTAAAATATTGAAATTCAGCAAATATGAATATATGATCCAAATTGTTCAATTCTCATCTTGTGTAACAATCAATCTGGATTGATCGTTATTTGAAATACTAAAAGGACATCGTTTAAAGTGATTCTATTCGAAGTCCGAACACATGGGCTAACTTTTTGAAAGCTCATTAATACTCGTTGAAAGATTTACATGTGATTTTAGGAATTTTAATTTAATTTAATTAATGAATTAATCAACTCTTTTTTTTTTCTTTAAGGCAAAAAAAAAACATAGATAGACCTGCAGCCCAGCTGTCAATAATCAAACAGCCAAGGAAATACACAAAGTGAAGTTTCTAAAGGACTAATTCTCATAGAAGCACTCGAACCCCACACCTCTTGCAAATCACAAAAGTTTTTTTTTTTTTTTAAGAAAAACAATAATTTTATTGATATCAAATTGATACAGAATAAATTAATCTCTTAATATTTATTATGAGAAAAAAAATGAAAAAAATTTGATAAATTTATTGAATTATTTTCTTTCAGATACAAAAAAATAGAGATATTGAACTTTTCAAACTAGAGTTCTTTAAAACAATTTTTTTTTTTTTAAATCATGCAAGCATATAAATCTCTAACTACCGCATATCATTGGAAAACAGATCGCGCTATCAGTCTCTATTGTTGGAAAATTTGAGTTTTCGACACCATTAATGAATATCAATTCTTAAAAAAAAGATAGAATTTTAAAACATCTATTCAAATGAACTAATTTTCCAAATATAAAAAAAGCAATTAATTTTATTACGTTGCGGATGTATGTGATATACAATAAAATTTTCGATTTAAATATTTCAAGAGGATGCCTCTATTTTCGATTTAAATATTTCAAGAGGATGCCTCTGCCTGTGGTTTTATCATCAAACATCAATGTTGACAATTTTTTTTTTCAATAATTGCATATTATCAATCTTTTTAATTAAATAAAATACATCTCTTATTTCATACATCAATTCAAGAAAGGTTATAGTTTCAATCGTGTTAGTTTAATTTTCTCAAATATCTCTTCTTCGTCTTCTTCTTTTCTTTTTTTTGTCAGGTAATTTTATGATAATATAACTAAACATTAACAAAACAACCACAAAAATAGCATGAAAAAATATATATAATATTAAAAAAACTAAAAAACCGAGGCTTTTACTGTTTATTTACTGTAGCAATTTTTTTTTTTGAACACCTGTAGCCTAGGCTACCTGGCACGCTGGCCTGCATTTGCAAGGCCCTAGCGCGACCTTCCCTGGCAGCTCCCGCTTGCACTCTATTTTTTTTTCTTTTCGTTTTTATATATACATATATATATATATATATATAGAAAGAAAAAGAGGTCAGGCTCGCGCCTGGTTGCCCTGTGCGAGCCCGGCCTCTTTTTGTTTTTTTTCTTCCTATATATATATATATATCTATATATATATTTGTATATATGTGTATATATATATATGTATGTATTATCATAAAATTAAGCATAAAAAATATAAAAAATAGATTACCTTTTTTAATTTTACGTACAATTTGAAGATGATAAAATATTATAAAAAAACTTAAAAGAACTAGGGGTGGGACTGTTTATTTACTGTAGTAGTCCCACCTTGGATTCTTTTAGTGATTATAGTCCCACCCCTAGTCTCTTCATTTTTTCTTATTAAACATCTGGCGTCTTTTTTTTTTTTTTTCCTTTATGGGTTGGGCTGCTAGAACTTCACTTTAGCATTCCTCTTTTTTTTTTTTCAGTTTCTATATTTGTAGGACTTTTATTACATTGTCAAATATATTATTTAGGTCCCTATTTATTAGAAATATATTTTTTAAAATAAAAAATTATTTATAGATAATAATTATAATATATTATCATTATATTTTACAAAAAAGTCAAATAATTATTATAAAATAATTATTTGTATTTTGATTGTGAATATTGGATTTATTATACAATATCATAATTTATTATTATTTTAAATTATTATATAAATAACATATTAATATATTATTTTATGAATTTGAAAATATATAAAAATTAATAAGTATTTTAGCAATATAATATATTTGATAATTATACCATATAAGTAAATTAATATTACATTATTATTAGTTAAATATTATTTTAAATATATTGGTATAATAATATAATATTTATTAATAACTGATTTATTTAAATATCGGATGACAATTGTTCTCTTTCTATATAAATAATTTATTTTTATATTTTTTATCATCAAATTAAGCGTGAAAATATAAAAAAAGATCTTTTTTATGTACAGTTTGATAATAATAGAATATATATAAAGTTTTGTAATTTTTTTAATATATATATCATATTATTTTATTTTTATTATTTAAGATTTATTTCTTCAATTGTTTGTTTCTTATTAAAATTCTCATTTAATTAATTTTTAAATTTTATATAATTTTATTTGTTAATAAATTTGATTTTTTTATATATGGCTTTTGAAATAAATTTTTAGAACAAGATTGCTTTATTTTTTAAAATATATTATTATAATTTATAAGATTGATTATTTTTATGATTTTTCAATGAAAATGGCATTGTTACATATATAAATTCGATGAGAAAGGGAGAGCTAAAAGTGTGTTTAAGATAATTTGACTTAATTTTTTAAAAAATAATAATCGGTTAAAAAAATAATTTGGCTTGGTTTTTTTTTAAAAAAATTAATAATTAGTTAAAAATTCATAGGTTTTATATATATATAATCAAAATTTATCAAAACCAATTTTATAGTAATTTTTATCTAAATCTATTGACTTCGACATATTCCATGCAATTTAATGAGTTTTGTTATATATTTTTTAATTTATTTTATATGCTCTAAGTCTTATTTAAGTGAATCAATTTTTTTCAAAAAAAATAATAATTAATTAAAAAATTTACAGGTTTCATTTGGTTTTATATATATATAATTAGAATTCATCGAAACCAAATTTATAGTAGTTTTTATTTAAATCTATTTACTTCGATATATTCCATGCGATTTAGGTAGGTTTTTTTATATTTTTATTTATTTTATATACTCTAAATTTGCTAAGTACTATATATATATAGTTTGTTATAAATTAATTATATTTGCACACATAATACCAGTTATTTGTTATTTATTTTTTTTCATGTTCTAAAATATGCATTTTTAAATAAAATAATTTAATTAATGTTTTCAAAGAACCTCTTAATTATTCAAATACAAATTTTTATACTAATATTATAAATTATTTTATTAATAAATATATATAAATCAAACAAGTTCATTGAATATATAGATTCGATTTATATTAATCTTTAGAATATCATATAAATTGTTAACTCTGTATATATAATGGTTGTAGTACTACAACGTAATGCGAGTATCTAACTAATATGATAATTATGCAAGATAACATAATCTTGAAGAGAAAAAAAAAGAAAAAAAAAGGGAAGTACCGTCACGTGCTTTTTCAAAAATAAAAATAAAAGAAACTCGTGGTCCCAAAAAAGCTGGAGAAGGATGTTCAAATTAAAAAAAAAAAAAAAAAATTCAAATTGGAGAAGTAAATAATTTTTCCAAGCCCATTACTTATGCACATCATTATTACATTTTCCCAACAAACGTAAAGTTTTCTTGCATTCATAGAATTCACCTAGTATATTTTCCTTTTCTTGTTGATGAGGAAAAAGAATTGAGAATAAGCCACAGAAGAATGAAAAGATTATGCAAAGAGAGACCACCAAAATCCAAGAAATTGCATTACATATTCTTGACACATAATTAACTATATTATGCACCCATAATTTATGATCTGGCACCGCCATGTGCAAAAGTTTGCATAATTGGAGTTAGTTAAGCAAGCGCCGTTATAGTTTAATTACTAGGTCGGTTGCCCATTAATTCTGCCAAGCAATCTTTTATAGGTTTAGTAGTTGTGGAATTTGGTAGAAGGCAACAAAAAGAAAAATACCGGCAAAATATATCTTGTCTTGAACGTGTAGATATTGTCTCTCAATGCCACCATTGTTCTCCATCACAAGTAAACTTAAAGTCGGCATGGTACTTTTGGTCTTGTTTCTTTTCAAAACAATATTGTCCCATTCAATTTCATTTTAGGTCTTACTAACTAATTAATAGTGATCTTATTCGTGTGTACCACACTCTATTTCAATTGTAAGAAATCGCATTTCCTTTTTTTTTTTTTTTTCCTAAGAGGCAAAT